GAATGTTGGTGAAAATGTAGGGAAACGAACTCTCATGCATATGTTGTTGGGAGTGTAAAATGGTACAACTATTTTGGATAAAGTTCTGGCAGAAACTTATAAAACTGAACTTATACCTATATACCATGTCCAAACAATTCTGCTCCTAGTTGTTTATCCAAAAGATATGAAAAAATACCTTCATAAAAGACACATCCAAGAATGTTTATAACTGCATTATAATAGCAAAACACCTGGAAATATCCCATTAGCCCATCAAGAGGAGAACGGATAAAGAAACTCTGATATAGCCATACAATGGAATCCAACTCTGTAATAAGAACTGTTTAGATATATCATAAATACACAAACATATCACAACACGGATGAATTTTAACAATGTTATACTGGGGAACTGACTGGGAAGGAGCCTGAGGGAACTTTCTGGTGTGATGGTATTTTTCTTTGATAGGATTTTGGTTTGCACAAATGTATTAATTTGTCAACATTCTTCAAATGATAAATTTAAGGTAAGTGTAGTTCACTGTTTATAAATCTTACCTTAAAAACTGCAACAAGGGGCGCCTGGGTGGCTCAGTGGGTTAAAACCTCTGCTTCAGCTCCGGTCATGGTCTCAGGGTCCTGGGATCAAGCCCCGCATCAGGCTCTCTGCTCGGCAAGGAGCCTGCTTCCTCCTCTCTCTCTCTCTGCCTGCCTCTCTGTCTACTTGTGATCTCTCTATGTCAAATAAATAAATAAAATCTTAAAAAAAAAAAAAAACTGCAACAAAATGTTGAACTTTAGCTAGTAGTATGCATGCTTAAGTGTTTAGGAGTGAAATATACTGATGTCTGCAACTTACTCTGAAATACATTTTAAAAAAATGGACCAATTTGTGGATGAAAACCAGGCTGGACAGATAGCTAACTAGATGATAAAGCGAATATAGCAAAGTATTAATTATAGTATCTAGGTGGTAAATACATGGTATTCATTGTATAATTCTTATCATTTTCTATGGAAATTTTCCTAAGAAAATGTTGGTGAAAATTAAAAAAAAAAAACAAACAAACTATCAACCCATCATTCTGTATTCAGTGAAAATCTCTTCTAAGAATGAGGGGATTTTCGTCCTCTTCCTGTAAGTGGCCTGAAGTGATCTCTGAAAATTACTATTCACTTGACCTATTACCTATTCACTTGACCCAGAAAACCCCACAAAGTCATGCAAATTGAAAGCTCAAATCTCTGGGGTGCCTGGGTGGTTCAGTTGTTAAGTGTCTGCCTTCAGCTCAGGTCATGATTTCAGGATCCTGGGATCAAGCCCTGCATTGGGCTCCCTGCTCAGTAGGGAGCCTGCTTTTCCTTCTCCTGCTCCCCCTGCTTGTGTTCCTTCTCTCGCTGTCTCTCTGTCAAATAAATAAATAAAATCTTAAAAAAAAAGTTCAAATCTTTGTGTTGACGTTCTTAACTGGTGAAACTGCCATCAAGGGTATGCATATCAGGGGCCATCAAGGGTATGCATTATCTGCAAAGCCACCAAATCTCTAGAGGATGTCACTTTACAGAAGCAACATGTGCCATTCTGTCACAACAATGGTGGAGTTGGTAGGTGTACCTAGGCCAAACAGTGAGGCTGGACACAGGTTTTGTGGCCTAAAAAGAGTACTGAATTATTGCACATGCTTAAAAATGCAGAGAATAATGTTGGACTTAAGGATTTAAATGTAGCTTCTCTGGTCATTAAGCACATCCAGGTGCAGAATTTATAGAGCTCGTATTTGGATTAATCTATACATGAGTTCTCCCTGCCACACTGAGATGATCCTTACTGAAAGAGGAGATTGTTCCTAAAACAGAAGAGGAGGTTGCACAGAAGAAAAAGATATCTTAGAAGAAACTGAAGAAACAAAAACTTGTGGCCTAGGAATCAGTTCAGTATAAAATAAATGGAAATAAAAGTACACTCACATGCATATATGCACATGTGTGCATGGATACACACACATATAACTAAAATATACCACAATAATAGCATTTAACTTGGTAGAAGCGATGATCAGTGTATTCTAACATCATTATACTACTGGGCAGGAAAAATTGTAAGTTTAGACTTTGATAACTTAAGTATGTCCTGCTAAATTAAAGATTTTGCAAAGTCACTGAGATAATGCAAACAGAATATATACCTTCCAAAAGAGGACATAAAAAATGGGAGAGGAGAACAATTTAAAGAAGGAATAATGGGGGGGAGGGGAATGAAAACATTAAAAAGTTACATATAACATATGTAATATGTCACATAATAATGTGATAAAATGGTAGAAATAAATACAAATATGTCATTAAATGACTGAATAAAATCTAATTATATGCTATTGTCAAGATACACATTAAAATAATTATACAGAAAGGCTCAAAATGAGGAAGCAGAAAAAATATCAGTCAAAATACTAATCAGAAGAAAGTTGACGTAGCTATATTAATATTGTGTAAAATTAGACTTTAAATAAAAGCATTATAAAAAGATCAGCACAGGGCGTCTGGGTGGCTCAGTTGGTTGGGCGACTGCCTTCGGCTCAGGTCATGATCCCGGACTTCCAGGATCGAGTCCCGCATCAGGCTCCCAGCTCTTTGGGGAGTCTGCTTCTCCCTCTGACCTTCTTCTCTCTCATGCTCTCTCTCTCATTCTCTCTCAAATAAATAAAATCTTTAAAAAAAAAAAAAGATCAGCACAAAATGAAATATTTAAATCTACAATAATTTATATAAATCTAAACTTATGTGTTACTAAAAATACATACATTTAAGCCAAAATTACTGAAACTACAAGGAAAAACAACATTACAGCCATAGTGGGAGATATCACATATTTCTTTTAGTAACTTACATTTAAGAGACAAAAACAAGTATGATTATAGAAGACCTGGACAAAAAATTTACAAACTTTAGTGCATACATTTAGAAAAGTATACTATATACAATAACTGCAAAAACCAGATTATTTTTAGGGGCACCTGGGTGGCACCCAGTTCCATATATACATGACAACTTAATTTATGACTCTTGCTAAGAGGGGAAAGGATAGCCTTTTCATAATGTGAGACAACTGGTGTGTACACACGCACAAAAATTACACCCCTCCTTTGTCTTACAGAAAGAGATGGATTCTAAGAGGTTTTATGACCCCCCCCCCAAAAAAATGTGTAAGGCAAAACTTGAATAAGAATATAGAAAACTAAAATTATGACCTTGGTATAGAGAAGATTTTTTTTTTAAAGATTTACTTATTTTAAAGAAAGAGTACACACATGCACCTGTGCCTGTGTGGGGGAGGGGAAGAGGGAGAGAATCCTCAAGCTGACTCTCCTGGAGCCTGATACAGGTCTCCATCCCACAACCCATGAGATCATGACCTGAGCTAAAACCAAGAGCTTTATTTTTCTCTCCATTAGCCAAGGTAAAATCTTCTCATGTATAAAGTTATTTAACTATTTTATTAGTCAATGGCCTTTCAAACTTACCCAGTAATGCTCCCATAATACAGTGGGTGCCTGCTTTGCCCGGCTGTGCCGGAGGAAAAAGGAGTTAAGCTAGGCCTGACTTTGAAATCATGTTTCTTGAAAACAAACAAAACTGTTGATTTTGCATTCTTCCCCATAACATGTATACTTTATCCGATAGAAAACTCAAGTCTAAGGGGCGCCTGGGTGGCGCAGTGGGTTAAAGCCTCTGCCTTCAGCTCAGGTCATGATCTCAGGGTCCTGGGATTCAGCCCTGCATTGGGTTCTCTGCTCTCTGAGGGGAGCCTGCTTCCCCCTCTCTCTGCCTGCTGCTCTGCCTACTTGTGGTCTCTCTCTGTGTCAAATGAATTAAAAATAAAATCTTTAGAAAAAAAAAGAAAAATCATGTCTAAATTATTTGCCAGATATGGGCGCCTGGGTGGCTCAGTCAGTTAAGTGTCTGCCTTCCGCTCTGGTCCTGATTCCTGGGACTGAGCCCCATGTTGGGCTCCTTGCTATGCGGGGAGCCTGCTTCTCCTCTCCCTTGCCTGCCGCTCTGCCAACTTGTGCTAACAAATAAATAAAATCTTTAAAAAATAAATTATTCGCCAGATGAACTGATTAACCCCCCCCCCCCCCCCCCAAATCAAATTAGTGTCCAAGAAAGAAACAACTTGACCATCCACCAGGAGGACCTCCCGCTCTCCTGGGAGTCAATCTTCTACAGACACCGAAATAGAGGCACGAAAAGAGCACAATTGCATAACACAAAAAGTCACTAGTCATTACCAGTCACGCAACCACCCTCAATTATGAACACAGAACAAACCGCAACAGCAGAGGTCCCTTCCTCCGTCAGACAATCCCACAGTTATGTCATTACCAGGCAGCTTCCAGTACAAGCCACCTCACACCCAACGGCATGTAGAATCGCACTCAGAAATACGGAAATACAACCACACACACAGCCGCCGAGGGCCTCCCAGTCAGCCTGTAACCGTCTCGCGTTATCTCACACACACACACAAAAAGGGCCTGGCCTGGCAGGGAGGAGGTCTCTGCGAGTCCGAGGCTCCGGCTAGTCCCCGCCTCAGCCCCAGCTCCTCCCCCGCACATGCCAGCCTGAGGGTCCGTCCCACCTTCTCCAGATCTGATAAGACCCGGGAACGACTCTCCGCAACTGCAGTCTCAGACCCCAACCGCTCCAGCAGCGCGCGCCTGACGCCTGCGCACTGAGCGCAGACGGGCACTCCCAGGAACACCCGCGGCGCAGCCGTTGCGCGAGCGCATTTTAGCCGCGGAGTCCCGGAATCTCGCGGAGGTTTAGTAAACTGGCCATCTCAGCGTCCTGGCCCGCCAGGCTACAACCTTCCGGGCGTTGGACTACATTTCCCAGAGCCACCGCGTCCCCAGTGCGGCTTCATTTCCGTTTGTTCGCGCGATTTGGGGACCTCGCGTGGGGAGGGCAGCGTCTGTGGAGGAGCTTGGCTCGGCTCCGGCTGGGCGGGCGAACCCCAAATTGGGCTTGGACCCCGGGCGCCAGATCCTGGATCCTGAACCGCACCTTCAGTCGAGGTGAGGATGTCGGGAATGTCGTGGCGGAAGGGTCGCTGGGATTGCGTGTATGTTGGTCTCCAGCCGTTTTGTGCTGTGAGCCAGCCTGCCTGCCACTGATGTAGGCGAATGAACGTGTGCGACTGTGGTTTTGTGTGCAAGCGTTTGTGTGAGGGTGAGTCGTGACTCTGAGGATGTAGTAATACTGCTGTGACAATGTGTTTGTGACCGCGTGCTTAACTGACTGGGAATGTGCCTATGTGACGGTGATTGTGTGTGTACCTTGTATGTGACCGGGGGGTTGCTTGTGACTGTGAGCTGTGCGACAGTGCTCTTGTGACAGGGTTTTTGGATGTACTTGGGTCACTTTGAGGTTGTGTATGCGACTGTGTATTGTGTGTATCACTGAAGTTTGTGACTTTAAGGTGTTATGAGAGTGTTGCTGTGACCCCACTTATTTCTTTGATCTGGTACTTAGTTGCATTTTTCTGATTGGATGGCTGTGGGTATGCCATATGTGTGACTGTTGGGACTGTGAGTGTGTCGCTTTCATGACTGTGTGAAGATAGTAAAAGTGCTGCTGTGAAATGCTGTTTTTGGCCTGGTGTATCCCTGACAGGGTGCTTGGATGTGCTTGAGTCCTTGTGTGTATGCTCTGTTTATGATTGGATTTTGTTTAAGATAAGAGGTGGTCTGAGGATGTAATATTAATTTGGCGATTGTGACTCTGGCTGTGTGACCACGGAAGTGTATGTGACTTTGTCTAGTCAATTTGTATATTTTATAGTCTATGATCTTATGGGAGTTTAGTGAGGTATAGAGATAAAATTGGGTTTTTGTATTTTGGGGGTTCATTATGGGACTGAGTCCCTTTGGTTTTGTCCTTACAGAACTTGACTTCTTTCTCTTCTGACCTCAGTGATCCCTCTTCATACATGGCCTATACACATGGCCTGTATTGGTTCTTAGTTCACACTGGGATTGTAGATGTAGGTTTCCTTTTGGCTTCCAGGTGTCCTCTCACCTTACAGTCTTAAGAATTTTGAATGCAGAAAGGTGATAGGAAGGAAAGATGTCAGGAATTTGAGACCCTGAATGAAGACTGAGCTATTTTTAAGTCACAGACCTGTTCTTGACAAGATTAGAGCTGATTGCACCTTCAAAACAGGCTATATGGAAATATAATGGGGGAGTAGGAATACTTCTAGAGAATGTGCCAGAGGAGTCAGTCACATACTTTAGAACTGGTAGTGCTCTGTCTCCAGTGGACAGTTTTGAATCCAGCAGTAAATTCTGGCCCCAGACAGCTGGAGTCTTGGACCTTCTTTCTAAAACAGAATACACAATTGTGCCAATTGTTCTTCTCTCTAACTTTCCTCCAGGGTAAATGAGGGATAGTTTGGGGGGCTGGGTGGGTAAGAGCATGTGTTCTAATTTAGAGTATATCCTAAGAAGGATGTACTATCTTATGATTCCATTTTCTTTTCCTGAGAGTAGAGTCCAGAGAAGGAAAAAATGGCTGTCGTACATTCAAAAGCAAAGTCCAAGGTGAGTAGATGTTTCCTCTTTGTTTCCCTAAATGCCTTTATTTTTTCAGGACATAGGAATCTTTGTTTTCTCTTTCCTAGTTAAGCTTTCTCAAATGATGGAGGTAGCAAAACAGTTTTCTGTAGATTGGGAGCAAGGAATATGTGCAGTTAATTGAGAGAGATACTTCCCAACAGTGGTTAAATTGAGGAAGAATGGATTTGAGACTCGTTAATTTAAATAGGAGATGATATTGTGTTATTTCTGACACAGCAGCATTCTTTTTTCTTTTCTTTTCTTTTTTTTTTTAAAGAAAGAGTGGGAGGCACGGGGTATGGAGGAAGGGGAAGAGGAAGAGAGAGAATCTTCAGCAGGCTCCATGCCCAGTGCAGAACATGAGGCGGGACTTGAATTCATGACCCTGAAGTCATGACCTGAGCCTAAATCAAGAGCCTGACATTTAATCAACAAAACCACCCAGGTGCCCCTGTTTGGTAGTTTTCAAACTACACAAAAGTATAATGAACCATCATAGGCCCAGCTTAAAAGTTTTCACTTGGTGCGCCTGGGTGGCTCAGTGGGTTTAGCCTCTGCCTTCAGCTCAGGTCATGATCCCGAGGTCCTGGGATCGAGCCCCGTGTCGGGCTCTCTGCTCAGCAGGGAGCCTGCTTCCCCCTCTCTCTCTGCCTGCCCCTCTACCTACTTGTGATCTCCATCTGTCAAATAAATAAAATCTTAAAAAAAAAAAAAAAAAAGTTTTCACTTGCCAATCTTATTTATTCTGACATCAGTTTGAATTCCTTTTTGATTTTCCTTTTGATTTCCTCTTTGATTTATGGTTTATTTAGAAATATCTTATTTGGGGTGCCTGGGTGGCTCAGTGGGTTGGGCCTCTGCCTTCGGCTCAGGTCATGATCCCAGGGTCCTGGGATCGAGCCCCACGTCGGGCTCTCTGCTCTGCGGGGAGCCTGCTTCCTCCTCTCTCTCTCTGCCTGCCTCTCTGCCTACTTGTGATCTCTGTCTGTCAAATAAATAAATAAAATCTTTAAAAAAAAATATCTTATTTAGTTTTCAGGTATTATGAGGATCTTCCAGAGATCTTTTTGTTACTGATTTCTAATTTCATTCCATTGTGTTCAGAGAATATACTATTTATGACTTGAGTCCTTTAAAATTTAAGAGTAGGTTTGTGACCCAAAATGTGTGGTCTATCTTAGTAAATGTTTGGTGTGCACTTGAAAAGACTGTATTCTGCTGTTGTTGGATGGAGCGTTCCATAAATGTCACTTAGGTATAGGTTGATAGTGTTGTTGAAATCCTCTATAGTACCTTTACTGATTTTCTGTCTGTTGCATTTATTTCTTTCTCCTCGTAATTTCTTTAAGTTTCTCCTTCATATATTTTGAAGCTCTGTTATTAGGTACGTAAAAGTTTTAGGTAATATGTGCTGTTGGTGAATTGATCCCTTCGTCATTATGAAGTGGTCTTCTTTATTCCTGGTAGTAGTCTTTGCTCTGAGCATCTACTTTGTCTGATATTTAATGTTACCAGTCCAACTTTCTTTTCATTGTGTTAGCATGAAATATCTTTTACTATTCTTTTATTTTTAAACTGTTTATGTTCTGATGTTGGAGTGCATTTCTTGTCGGCGGCGTTTCATTGGATCTTGTGTTTATCCAGTTGACAATTTCTCTTACAATTAAAGTATAAATAGACCATTTATATTTATATTATATACAATTTATATTATATTAAATATACCATTTATATTTAGTGTGATCATTGATGTGGTTTGGGTCAAATCCATCATCTTGTCCCATCTGTTCCCTATGCCCTTTTCCTTCTTTTCTCCCTTCTTTTGAATTGGGAGAGAGCTTCAAACTAACAATACCAATATTTTTACCAATTATGTGAATACAGAAAAACAATGAAGACTTCTTGAAATTCATAGAATATGACCTGTCCTACAGTTAGGCTCATTTGTTTCATCTTGCTTTTTACTTTTAGTGATTGTGTTTTCCTGACTTTGATTTAATTTCATTTTAAAATTATGTAAAATATTTACTTATCTCCAAAATCAAAACTACAGAACAAAGGTGAATTCAGAGGAGGCCAATGTTCATTCCTATCCCCTTCAACCTGTTTCCTTTTTCTCTGTATAGGTAATAACTACCAGTACTTTTATTTGGTGTATTCTTCTATTTTTCTTTTAAATGACATATGTTTATGTGTATGTGTTTGCATGTATACATAGGTACACATACATGTATACATTTATTTTTTACGTCTCCATTCCTAACTAAAAGGGAGTATTCTGTGTACACTACACTATACCTTTTTTTTTCTCATGTGTTTATTTTTTTTTTAATTTTTTTTAAAAGATTTTATTTATTTATTTGACAGAGAGAGATCACAAGTAGGCAGAGAGGCAGGCAGAGAGAGGGAGGGAAGCAGGCTCCCCGCCAAGCAGAGAGCCCGATGCAGGACTCGATCCCAGGACCCCGAGATCATGACCCGAGCCGAAGGCAGCGGCTCAACCCACTGAGCCACCCAGGCGCCCCTTTCTCATGTGTTTAATGTATCCTGGAGAACATTCTTAGCAGCCTACAGAGATTGTTCTTACTCTGTTTTATAATTATCTATTCTGTTGTATGGGTGTATTAGTTTATTCACCTAGTCTTCTGTGAGTGGGCATTTGGTTTTTTCCCCCAGTATTTTGCCATTATATAATACAGCAATCAATAACAATGTATGTGGTTTCTATATGTAGATGTTTATCTTTGGGGCAAATTTCTAGAAGTGGCCTACTTTTAGTTTATTTTAATGTTTCTAGTACAAATTCTACCTGAATCACATCTCTCAAATAATAATGAAATGGGTGCATTTCCTTATTTTTCCCTTTCCCCATCTTTTTCTCCATTACCCAAGTTAAAAAGAGGTCTTAGAGTTTATCTTTTTATTTTTTTTTAATTTTTTTTTAAGATTTTATTTATTTATTTGACAGAGATCACAAGTAGGCAGAGGCAGGCAGAGAGAGAGGAAGGGAAGCAGGCTCCCTGCTGAGCAGAGAGCCCGACGCGGGGCTCGATCCCAGGACCCTGGGATCATGACCTGAGCCGAAGGCAAAGGCTTTAACCCACTGAGCCACCCAGGCGCCCCTATCTTTTTATTTTTAAATATTATTTTTTCTCAGAATTTATTGAGACTTTTTTTAGCCATTGCATGTCCTTTCTTAAAATTTCACAAAGCTATTATTTCCTTGTTTTCTGATATCAAAGTAGTACATGTTTGTTGTTATGACTTAGGAAATACAAAAGAAAGAAGAAAATAACAATTACTCGAAAAAACTCCTTTAGACTGAATCATGGTTCATATATGGAATCTATCTTTAATTTAAAGTCTTTTTTTAAAAATTTTATTTATTTCTTTGACAGAGACAGATCACAAGTAGGCAGAGAGGCAGGCAGAGAGAGGAGGAGGCAGGCGCCCCGCTGAGCAGAGAGCCCGATGCGGGACTCGATCCCAGGACCTTGAGATCATGACCTGAGCTGAAGGCAGAGGCTTTAAACCACTGAGCCACCCAGGCACCCGTAAAGTCTTTCCTTTTCTAAAACTACTTCTTATAGAAAAATTCAAGCATGTATGAAACTAAGAAGTATAATGCTTCCCCATGTACCCTACCCATCCCTGTGCTTCAACAAATATACATTTGTAACTAAACATGTTTCATCTATAGATCCACTGCTCCCTCTCCCCAGCAAAAAAATGGGTTATTTTGATGTAAATTCTAGATATGTATTTCATCCACAAATATTTTAGTATGTGCATCTAAATGATAAGAACATTTTTACTTAAAAAAATACAACCATGGGGCCTCCGGGTGGTTCAGTCGGTTAAATGTCTGACTCTTGGTATTGGCTCAGGTTATGATCTTGTGGTCATGGGATTGAGCCCTGTGTCTGGCTCTGAGCTCAGCTTGGAGTCTCCTTCAGATTCTCTCTCCCACTCCCTCTCTCTCAAATAAATAAATAAAATCTTTAAACCACAAGTCTCAATAAATTCTGAGAAAAAAGAATATTTAACAATAAAAAGATAAACTAAGACCTTTTTTTTTTTTTTAACTTGGGTAATGGAGAACCACAATATCATCACTATTAAAAAAAAAAAACCCACCTTTAATACTTTAATGTTATGAAATAACAAGTCAGTGTTCACATTTCTCCCATTGTCCATAAATATTTATTAGAATTAAGATCCAAACAATATCTATTTAGTGTAATAGTGTGATATGCTTCTTAATCTTTCTTTTTCTTTTCTTGCAGTTTATTCCAGAAGCAGTTTTCTTATAGAGCTACCCATATTCTGGATTCTGTTGGTTGTATATGTGTGGTGTCATTTTACATGTTCCTGTGTTTCTTCTAAACTGGTATTTAATTCTAGAGGTTTGATCAGGTTCAGGGTTTTTTTGTGTGTGTGGCTTTGCTTGTTTGCTTTGCACTAATCTTTCATACTTAATGGTGAATGCTGCATAACATTAGGTTGTTTTCCTTTATGTGATTTTAGTAGCCATTGGTTGTCTTTACTTGGAATTTATTATTTTATCAGAGTTCAAAATGATATATATTTTTTAAGATTCTATTTATTTATCTGAGAGAGAGAGAGTGAGAATGAGAGAGAGCACAAGCAGAGGGAATGGCAGAGGGAAAGGGAGAAGCAGACTCCCTGCTGAGCAGGTGCCTGATTGCAGCTCAGTCCCAGGGCCCTGGGATCATGACCTGAGCAGAAGGCAGACATTTAACCTACTGAGCCACCCAGGCGTCCCACAAAATGATTCTCTAATTCTCTTGTTTCTTCAGCAATTATTAGTTGGAATACTTGTGTAAAGGGAACCATCCTCTCATCAATGTCTTGGTTATTCTAAAGTATAGCACATTTTAAAAAATTAGGATAAAAGCTTGCTTTTACTTATTATTTTTCAGCATCTTCCAAAGTTCATCCTGTGTTTTTCTTTTAAATTATTA